GCTGCTCCATCTGACATAAAAATACACTTTTGGACTGTTATTTGCGACTTTAAAAATTCTAATAATTTTGAGATAAACAACTAAACTGCTACTGTGTCATGCTTTGAAATTGATTTAGGTAGAGGTTTACAACACTTGAATTGTTATCCATCGTAAAAAACTACTTGCTTTTTAACTTGAAACGCTAAGAGAGATGAACTGAATGGAACAGGTGAAGAACGTCCCAATATATATATATATATATGTAGTAGAATAATTACAATGTTGACATTATACCTATCTTCATTAGGTACAATTGATTATAGCAAACTTTTTTAAGTGTGAGTGTAAGAAGCCTCCACGGGGTGCCTTTTTATGTAGTTGTGATATCGCGGGATGAGGCACAATATGGTATACGTCAGAGAAGTACCTAGAGAATTTATCTCAATTACAGGTTTAATAACATATTTATTACCTGTTTATGTTTTAAGCCTCTGTTATGACATACACAATTCTATCCAGGTTTACAACTAATAGAGGACAGAAAAAAGGCACATGAGTGGGTTTGTTGATTATTTGGGTATATTTGAGAGTATTTACTTATAAACTTGTTTCTTTTCCGCTGCGTCTAAATAGAAACGGGTAAGTCTGACAGCTACCATATTTGAGAATGAATTGTCTGTTTTTTAATATATATTCATGGAAAAACATCTCGTTGCTCGACATCACGACTAACATTTGAAAATGGCCCAAAATGTAGAAAATTATTATAATTATTTTTTTTAAAATTGCATTAACTTGAGAACGGCTGGACTTAGGAAAAAAGTTTTATTTGCAATGTTTTTGAAAATTATGCGTAAAATCCAAATAAATTACTATTTCACTAAAAAATATGCAATTTCACCAACTTGTAAAAACCAACAAAAATTAAAAAAAAAAATTAAGAAAGTTACCAGCATACACTCTTCATCAAATATTAAGGCATTTTTTCAGTTTTCTTGAAAAAAATAAATTATAAATATCGAAGGGGGGGTGTTTTGAGATAATCATCGTTTTACGTTTTTTAAAAACTAATTTACTAAGTTTTTCTTTCAGTGTATTTTTTTCCGCAAAGATAATTTAACTACCTAAAACTTCTTCTCATATGCCATTTTGATCAGATCAATAGTTTTCAAGTTATGATTTTTTGAAAAAAAAAAGAATAATCCATTTCTTTATACGCCCTTTTCAAAAGTTACTCTGGAGGAAAAAATCATATTTAAATGAAAAATGCAACCATTAGTAGCAGCGAACACGTGAGAAATGTTTCATTCAAATCGGAAACACTCATGACCAACCGGTTTGCGTTTTGGGCTGGAAATGCTCTATTGTCCATTTTTTTAGAGTAAAAATTTTATTCATATAGTCCCAGCCATTAGCTACAACATTGCTAAAGACACCAAACCGTTCGGACAAACCATTTTCAAGTAACAGTTTTTCTATGATAAGCTTAATGTTTCTATATGCCCTTTTCAAAAATAAGGCTTGCTTCAAAATTGCGATTTGATGATGGAAAATGACATTTTCATCCAAATCGAAAAATACAAGGATAAATGGATTAGCTATGTGGGTAATTGTTGCTTTTGTTCATCTATCATTTTAGGAGTTTCCGCTTTTACCTATAACTATGAAGTTTTGTATCAAAAACAGATCTCCCATTGTACATCGAACTTAAGTACTAAAACCAGGATCTTGTTGCATAACTCTATATCATAATCATTCCTTATATCATGTTTGAATAAGAATTTATCTTTCAAAAAGTAACAGAAAAGAATACACCTCTTCGAACTATATCAGACTTGTCTCTTGAAAACCTTATAATTATTATGGTTAGAGCCAATTGGCTCCCATCCCAAGTAACTGACAAGGTTGCTAATCGAATTTTATGAAACATCAAGTTAATGTAAGGCATCTGAACTTTATATTATTCATATATTTGGTTATGCTTTCCCCCCTTAGTGGGGGGGGGGACACCCCTCACCATCCCTCTCCAAAGGGGGAGTTTGGTAAAGAGAGATGAAAAAACCGATGTGTACCTTCCTTAAAAGTTGTTCTAGCTCGCTATTCTAATATCTATATGCAATCTTCACACTGCCGTACTGTAACGGAACTATTAACTCTATGCTTTCATCTACTCCATCTATCGTATAAAAATTACCACTTCAGTCTGTTATTTGAAATTAGCATCTTCAACTATGTAAATCGTTGACTTCACGTAGAAGTAATACTAAAACATATAGTCAAAGTAGTTTATATAACCTTTGTATGACTAGTTTTAGTTGTATAGCAATGGTTGTATAGCAATAGTTGTAAAGGGTGTCCACGATGAAATTGCCACACTATGAAATTGCTCTAACTTTTTAACCGTTGGGTAGAATTTGATGAAAATTTGGGTGGATTTAGTTCATAGTGCATTATTTACATCCTGCAAGTTTTAAAGTCCTGTGATCAAAACTCGCGGAAATGGAGTCGAAAGAACAGCTCGAGCGTGATAAAATCTTGCGCATTCATCACGAGAACAAGGATCTCTCGCATCGTTCCATCGCTAAAATGTTGGGAATCGCGAATTCCACGGTGTCGCGAGTGATTAAGCGGTTCGAGGAACGGTTGACCACCGATCGGAAGCCCAGAAGTGAAGGAAAAAGTATTCCGTACAACACCAAAAATCACAACCGCGTAGTTGGGGCCTTCAACCTCCGAACGCCTCCGTTAGGGTGTGGCTAAGAAGCTGCACCTAAGCCGAAGTTTTGTCCAGAAGGCCAAAACTAAGGCTGGGCTTCGAACGTTCAAGGTACAAAAGGCCCCTAATCGCGACGAGAAGCAGAACAAGTCCGCCAAAACCCGTGCCAGGAAGTTGTACCTCAACATGCTGACGAAAGTTGAATGCTGCATCATGGACGACGAAACATATGTGAAGGCCGACTTCAAACAGATCCCCGGCAACCTGTTTTTCACGGCCAAGGATAAGTTCAGCGTTCCGGAGCATGTCCGCACTCAGAAGATGTCCAAATTTGCGAAGTAATTCCTGGTTTGGCAAGCCATCTGCACGTGCGGGAAGCGGAGTGCACCTTTCGTGACCCAGGACACGATGAACGGACAGGTGTACATAAAAGAATGCCTTCAGAAGCGGCTGCTTCCTCTCCTGAAGGCCCACAACGTCCCAACAATCTTCTGGCTGGATTTGGCCTCATGCCACTACTCCAAGGACGTGCTGAAGTGGTATGCGGACAATAAGGTCAATTTCGTGCCGAAAATGTTCAACCCTCCCAACACTCCGGAGCTCCGCCCCATCGAGAAGTACTGGGCGATTATGAAGCAGCACCTTCTTAAACGACCTAAGGTAGTGAAGACAGTCGAGGAACTGAAGAAAGTATGGGTTTACATGCAAAAAACGGTTGATTCACAGGTTGTGCAGAATCTTATGGCCGGGGTTAAGGCCAAGGTGCGGGCATTTGCGTATGGACTGTAAATAAAATACGAGTAAAATGGTAAAATGAAGTTTAATAGTTATTTCTCAATCCCTGAAAATTTGATGGCAATCGGATGAAAACTCGAATTTTGCGAATCAATTTTGTGTGTGGCAATTTCATCGTGGACACCCTTTATGACTAGTTTTGGTTGTATAATCAACATGATTCTATGAATTTGTGTTACTTGTGACTGCAAAACATTAATTTTAATATAACATCAATCGTGTCGAAAATATGGTGTAATATTATTTGCCAAATGGACAATCATTAAAACAGTGCATGAACTGACATTGCACTGGTTTTACAGCATTTGTTTATTTGTGTGGCCATAAAAATTACATGAGATTTTCGACATGATTGAAGTGCATCCTCTTGGATGTAATATTAAAATTTATTTTATGCTGAAGACTCAATCATTTCGGATGCATAGCTTCTAAAGAAATATGGCATTTTTCTGATCATAAGCAGCATTTTCCATTTATGATCAATTTTATCCAGTATCGGTTTTCTACCGGTTTTAACGGTATTAAATGTTCGATTCCGAAAAACCAGTTTTCAAATAACAAATTCGGTAATTAAAACCGTACATTTGATCATAGATTTACCCAATTTCGGAATTTTTGGCGCGTCTAAATCTGTCCTGAATTGGTATCAAACTGAACTGCGGACCTAAATCCGTGCACCTAAAAATGATTCGTAATTCCTACACCTCATACAGAAGAATTACTTTTTTAGGGAGCTATATAGATTTTTAATATTTTTTTGAGCTGTATGGATTTCGGTACCGTACGTTATACTGTTCAAATATTTTGCGAGAATTCTAAACATTCTTCAATCGTTGCCATGTTTTGCTCAGGTTCGTATTTTTGGAATACCGCGATCATTTTTCCTTAAATGTTTACTTCCAGGTATTTCCTTGCATTTGTTACTCTTCATGGGGTCAATAAATGATAATTTAATTAAGCAATATCATTTGAATTAACAAACATTAAACTTTACGACCGGAGGAGACTACCGGAATTACCGCCGATAAATGCCGTGCGTGCAACATAAATTATGTTCGCTGTCATCTTTATCTGCGATTGGTCAAAAAATGAATGTTCATCCTGTCATCACCGTGTGTTTTTTTCAGCCAGCCACGTACAGGTAGGCCAACCGGAATGAACAATTCTACAGATGTTTTATCGACCCTCGTATTCCGGAGATAAGAAGGATGGGGGTTAATATTTTAAACATTTATGAGCTTCTGTGTTGCCCGTGTCGTGGCGAGCTTGTTCGTACAAATGTGACGATCGGGTGGTGAAAGGGTTTGCTTTTTTATTTACAAGAACCAAAAGGAATACAATTGAATTGAGAGGGAGAAAAATCCACCTGCGCTTCAGAACGGAGCGAATTGACAGTTTGAAATCGAAACAAAAAGCTTACGGTAATAAATAAATTGTCTCGGCAGTGGTATCAATCATCGACCAGCCGATCAATGCGGAATATGCAATAAATTTGGGGTGTCCTTACCTTCGGTATCACTTCGGGCCGTGCTGATGTCTTCCTCTTTGGCTAGGTGCCTCTGGAGTGCGCCCAGAGGTATCGTTGGTATCGTTGTGTTCGAGGTGGAGGAGGATAGTGCGGAGGTTTGCGCCGCGGCCGCCGCTGTTACGTTCGACGATATCGACGGCGGTAACAGGGGGCTGCAGGGTGAGTGAGATCCGGCCGACGTGCTGGATGATGCCGCCAGCGGGACACCCGACGATGGGTAGAGATCCTGGTTGAACTGAAATTGAAAACGATTAAAGGAATCAGTTATGAAACAGCATATTTGAAAGCCATAAAGCAGTTTAGGAATGCACAATTTTGCAAACACAGTTTTCTGTACTTTCCGTCCCATACAACTTAATTTTTTTGCGTTTCAGCTTCACTTATATGAAAGAAGGACAACCCCGCTACGAGAGCAAAAATTTTGTACTGCGCATTCTCCGTTATTGCATCAATCTTCTTCCTGCAACTCCGAAGACAACATAATGGGGTTCGTCCAATCAAATAAGCCACGCCATTCGGACAGTATTCTGCGATACATTGCTCAAAGAAGCTCATTATTTTCTGTTTCTTGCAAGTTTTTGCTCAATCGAATAGGATTCTTAACCCGAACAGAGCACTATACAATTTATTAAGATTTTCACACCTCGTATAAAACAGCTCCCCATGTAACACACATGTAGCCATCAGTTCAACCAAGCGAAGCATTCGCATGGGTTAAAATAAATGGTTAAAACGTATTAAAATAATTCAACTTATTTCTAAAGACTACTTCAAGCATCTTATGAATCGCATTCCACGACACATACTTGATCCCTTACCTCCACTCATGCCACTCATCGAGGGCAAAGCGTTGCTCTCTGTGACGATGTGCGATGACGGCGAAGGTGGTCGACTCGCAATGCGACGCTACGCGACGGGACATTGACTGATGCTTTGCTCTTGTTGTTGTTGTTATTTGTGGGGACGGTTATGTAGTATGCGTTTAGGGTGAATTGTACCCTATTCGGGTCAAATCACCCAACGCAATCAACAGCGCTGTATGGCAGTGGATATGGTGCCGACGGACGAAAACAACCCAGACAACTGCGAGCGACGGCCACGAACACGCTTCACATAGTTGCTCTCTTAGTTTTGTTCGGTTTTGCTGTCCCATCCTTTGCTACCTGTACCTGGTAAATATGATAAGTTTTGTACTGCTTTCTGAATCGATATCGCATCGCTTGGTGGGTAGAGCACCGTTTGTTGGTAAATTAAGATTTTCTTTCCCAATCAAAAAATATTTGAATCGATGCGAAGAATATTTGCTGAAAATCTGAAAATATTTGAATTTCGAAAACTTTAGCTTGACCGAGAATTCAGTCCACCACCTCTGGCATGTTATGTCGCGCCATTTCCCATTACGTACACACTAGGCTATCGGAAGGTCCCACATTCTGATCCTACCGATCCTAATCCCAAGATCATTAACGATTTTGTTTCCATCAACAAATACAAGTGGCACACAATAATGCCTTAGTAGACAACTGTCAGCCTGCGACGACTAGAAAATAGACCCATAAATCTTCTATTGCACTTCATTATCACCGTTGGGTAATTCAACTCCTGTACGTACGTACCTACTATAGTAGTGCCTCAGTATACCAAAGTAATCGACACATCTGACAGCCTGCAGCAGATACCCACAACACCGGGAATGGCCGAAAAGACAAGCCCCCTCTTCCACCCAAAGCCATGCGCTTGGTTCTTCACAACCGCGCCATAAACTCTTTCGCACGCCCAAACCCAACCACCTCCCTCTCCGACAATCAACGCATCGCAAACGCGTTGAAAGGCGCAAAATTAATGACCGAGAATAAAATAAACTAATAATCGGCTGATGATTTATCTTAAACGCGCGCGCGGTTATTTATAAAGGAATTCCAATTGTCTTAACGCCCAATTATCCAGCGCGATTGCGGCGGCGGCAGTGGCGATACGGGAGACGGCCGGCAGACCGAGCTTACGGTGTCTTCTACTCTCGAGCCATTGCATGGATCTGGGGGTCCGGGCTGATGGCTGCTGAAACTTCGCGGTAAGAGGGTGGTTCAAATCGCCGGCTCAACACCATCGTGTTGATCCTCCGTGGCCTGCGTGCCTCGCTGTTTAATCCAATGCGATCAGCGTCGGCATCAGAGGTATACGACCAAAAGAAAGAGACAGAGAGAAACTCGAGTCATTGTCGGGGAAAGACCGTGCATCTGGACACTTACCGGGCAGTTCGTTTCGATATAACCACCACCGTGCGAACGGTATGAACCACAGTTCAAGAAACATCTCGAAATGGTAAGTTAAATGATTGCTAGTGGCTCTGGGCGAGGATCCTGTGTTCTCAATCTACACCGTATCCAATATATTCTCATACAAATTCAAACTGTACTTTTTTTTTGCATCAGTTATACAGATTTTGATAGTTATTGTAGGCAGTATAATATTTAAAAATTACATCATATGTTTTGGAATTACCCTGCCTTCATCCTGTTTGATCAGGTTCAGACTTTTCTCAAATGCATCACAGATGGCACGCACGACTTTCAGAGGCATTTCGTCCCATATTCGTTTGATTATGACTTTGAATTGGATCAAATTTGATACCCTCTGCTTGTTCTCCTTCAGCATTATTTATGATTACCGTAAAACGGGGTAACATTGATAGTTTATTAAAGTATATTCTAAATATTTTTTTACAGCAATGACTGTTTTTCAAATTTTATATTTTTAAAACAAGTACTGAGGATCCAAGCATTATTTCGTTAGTAATATGTTGAACGAAAATTAAAGCATTCGCACTATTTTTTCTTCAGTATTTTTATTTGGGGTTACTTTGATAATGCTCGATGAATGTAGAAAAAAAAATGAGTGAAACTCAAACAATTTAGTTCTTTAAATATGAAACATTGAATGAGTATATAATCAGAAAACTTCATATGCAATAAGAATACACCATTGAATTTGTGATGGCTGTATCGGAAATATATTTCATAAGTGATGTTTTGAGTGCTTTTTCAAAAAGACGAAAAACACGAAAATGGTTTTTTAATATTTTGTAAAATATGCAAAACATACTATATAAAAACTATATACCATATCAACGGAAATACCCTAAGCTACAATATGGAACCAATGTTTCTTATTCAAACAAAAGCACAACAAGTAAATTTATTCTTTATATTATACTATCAAAGTTACCCGCATTATCAAAGATACCCCGTTTTACAGTACATGAAATAATCTAAGGGATTCAGATCTGGTAAACTCGGAGGCCGTTTATCTTTGGCCAAAAAGTTGGTCAAATTATCTCTGCATCACCTCTGAACGAGCTCGCAGTGTGAGAGGGCGCTCCATTCTATTTAAACACATAATGATGTTTTCCAATAATTACTTATACACTTGGTTTGACAACTTTCTCCAAACATTCCATTGGTATATAGCGTTAACTTTAACGCTTTTTTCCATGAAAACCGACGTAATTTACCGCACTTGCATATTCCTCCAGAAACCATCACTGGAGTGGTACTTAGAAGATGAATTGTTCGTTCGAGTCTTATTTCCTCCGAAGCCTATGAAAGCTTGGAATCTGAGGTACAGTTTCAGAACATTGTGCAACAACGATTTCAAACTATTAAGATCATCAGCAGTGGGATTTTCGTAAAATCCTTTTTATGGATATTTTAATAACTCGTTCTGTATTCATTGAACGTACTAAGCCAGATCTCTTCCGGTCATCCAACGAGGAAGTGTCTTGGTACTTTCTGATGGTCCAAGAGACCAAATCACGCTTTATTCCTTGGATTTTCAACTTTGTGAAAATGACACCCGGGCGCCCAGCCATCCAAGATTTTTTTTATCACCTCGTCACGAAAATGCTTTATTCCCAATTAAAGATGGGCACATCATGAAAAAAAAGTTAGCTTAACCCTCAATCATTTGTTTTAACACTCCGAACACGATGTCTCCGGTAAAATGTGTAACGGCAAATTGGCAATGTTTGAAAAATCATTGCTCAGCAATTTATCAATAAATTTTAAATCTATTAATACCGAAAAAAAAAATTCAAATCTGCAGTTTCAAATAGCGTCAATAGATTTTTAGTTTGTCAATAAATGGCTGAGCTATGAATTTTTAAACATTGCTAGTTTGTCTTTTATAGATCTGAAAATATGGTTCCAATATTTCGTTGATTGCAACCCACTTTGAGAAATTTTATAAACTCACAATCACAATCCATCATTGACAAATTTCAAACTTCAAAATAAAACAAATGGCATCCCAAAATTTGAGGCACTGATAAAAAATGTTCAAAGCTTTGGACTTAGACACATTTAAATAATTTTAGGACAATAGATTTTAAAGACTTAGGATATAAAAAAAAACGTTTGAAACACATAGACTAAGAAAACTTTTCATAGCTCTGGAAACTACACAGCTTTTATAAATAGAAGTCTTTGATAAAATCTCTTTATTCTGGAGCGAGGAAAATCTTCTTAAATTGCAATATGACGTACATATAAAATTTTGCATGCATCTAGGACTTGACCAGATCTCGATATTGAATTAAATTGTAATATTCCGGGATACATTTCAGAGACTTAATAATTCAAGATATCTGAGACAAATAAATTAAGACAATTGTGTGGCCTGGAATGAAATTTTAACGTATAGAATGTAAGTTCACAGTTATAGAAAAATAGTAACGCTTCTGAAACGTAGAAAACATTTTATGATCTTGGACAAGTAATTTTTTTCTAAAATCTTGATTTGAAATTTTTTTGATTCCGGATTACATGTCCGGAAAAAACTACAATAATTCAATTTAATGGACTTAGAAAAAAAAAATCAGGATTCTGGACACTAGAGCAATCAAGCTGCATTGATTTTTCAAAATTCTAAACTTTTAAAAAAATGTCTAGATCACGAACATTTTCCTAGACCATTTTTAAACCTCTAAGGTTTGGAAAAATTTCAGGATCGCGAAGTAAAAAAAAAAAATAGTTTATTGGGACGTGAACTTTTTTCGAAACATCAGAAAATTGATGATGAGTTTATGACTATTTCAAGATCACAGGCAAAGGAAAAAATAGAAATTTTATAATCTGGACAAATTTTGAATGTCTAAACAAGGCGTTTAAAAAAATCAAAATATTAGAGATTTCATTAACACCAATTTGACACTTCTAGACTAACGGGTGACAACTAAAA